GAAGATTCTGTTTGGATCCTTACATTCTGCGGAGCTCAGGGAGTGTCCTGTTCACAGACATGCATGCAGTGTATCCAGGTTCCTCACTGCTGACTCTAATGAGAAATCAATAGACTGTTGAATAGAAATGTGTCCTCTCCTTGAACATGTGATGAAATACTTGTCCTGAATACTTGTGTTTCTTCGTATATGTTACAAATCCATGAATATAAAAACACATTTGTAGATAAAATACAATTTTATTGATAACAATTTTCAAGATAATAATACAATTTTAATAGCATTTGCTGTGTAATCTCAAGCTGGAAAGGAAATCATCTTTAATAAGTTTTATTCCTTTAACCAGAAACAGGATTATATTGTTCAGGGGGATTTGAAATTAGTTTATGTCAGTCATACACTGTCAGAATATGTAACTAGCATGTCCAGTATTAGTTGGGAAATATTTTAGAGCGTTTAAAAACTGGGATCTATTTGAAGTACTCAGTTTCTACCAGGGAAGAATCTGCCTGCAATGCAGGAGACCCTGTTTTGATTCCTGGGTTGGGAAAACCCCCTGGAGAAGGGATAGACTACCCACTCCAGTATTCTTGGGCTTCCCTGGTGGTCCAACAGTAAAACTGATGCCCACTAAGGCAATGATGCCATCCAACCATCTGTCAACTCCTTGTCCTCCTGCCCTCAATCTTTCCCAGCATCAGGTTCTTTTCCAATGAGCCAGCTCTTCACATCAGGTGGCCAAGGTTCTAGAGCTTAAACTTCAGCACCAATCCATTCAGTGAATACTCAGGATTGATTTCCTTTAGGATTGACTGGTTTGGTCTCCTTGCTGTCCAAGGGACTTTCAAGAGTCTTCTCTAGCACCACAGTTCAAAAGCATGAATTCTTCGGCACTCAGTCTTCTTTATGATCCAACTCTCATATTTGTGCATCATATTACACTTTGATTTAAGAATGCTGAGTTTCCCTCTCTATGTATTGATTTTTCTTCTTGTTTAAATATTTGTTTAAAGACTCTGGGTTTGTTCTTTTTCATTTTAATTGTGATATTAAAAAACATGTAGGAAGAATGGGCAAATAAGTATACAACACATGAAGGTTTCCATATATCACTATCTGGATGAAAATATAAAATACGTCATACCCTACAGATGCCTGACTCTTGCACTTTGAAAACCACTAACTACTCCAACCAAGAACACAGGCATTGTGAAAGTTCGGGGAGAAGATGTCTACCTTCAGGGAAACCTGAGATCCTGGTAGTCTAGGACAGAAGCAGGAGCTGAGATGCAGGGAGCAGAGAAAAGGCATGAGTATGATTCAAAGCCAGGAAATTCTAGAACAGATTCAGTTGAACAAACTTAGAAGCTGTGGCTACGTGAAGTTCAAATTTCATCATGGTATTCTGTCTCTAATATGAGGATAATTTTCAGATTTTAAGAGAATATACATCAGGATGATTAAGATTTTCCAGACTAGGATTTTCTGCCAGAGAGACTGAGGGAAAGATAGTTATCTCAGAACCACTGAGAAAGTCCCTCCCTGGGGCCCCAACCCTGTCTATGAGCAAGTGTCTCAGTCTGGCAGGTCCATCAGTGTGGGGAAGGTCTGTGCTCCGGGGGACTGGAGAGCAGGTGGTCGGTCCTTCACAGTTAGTGATGCTGAGAGCGGAGCGAGAGTCAGCATGGAGCCGTCTGTGAGCATCTCAGCCAGCGGTCCAGACCCCGGGGAGCTCATGACAGGGCCTCCTGGGCTCTGGACCTGAGGGTGTTCCCACCTCCTTCCAGGGCTCCCCACCATTCCCTCCTCCCCCAGTTTGTTCTCCACTGAGAGGAGCAGCTGCTCTGACCCCGATTCCCTGGGGGAAGCAGCGGCTCAGCTGAGCACAAGGGCTGAGCCCATGAGGGAGGGGTGTGTTTAGGGCCACGACATGTGTGGGTCCCAGTGAGGGTTCTGGGCACAGAAGTCACGTGCAGGGACCCCACCCTGGTGAGTGTGAGTGTGAATCTGTCCCAGACCCACAGTCACTGAGCCAGGCTGGCACCCCAGGAGCCTGGGGAACCCCTGTGATCAGTGGTTGAGGAGACTATGTGGTTTGTGCCGGAAGCATGGCGGGCAGGTGTGTCCATTACTCTGGATGAGATGCGATGGCCTTTAGGAGATGGAGATGCTCCCTCCATGGCCACAGGCCAGAGGGAGGAGATGGAGTCAGCACAGCAGCCCCCCGGGAAACTGGGGAAGAAAGGCAGTTAGTGTGAGTGCAAACATGGAACCATAGTGATGAAGGAAAATAAATGATGTTGCTTATTCAGGTGTTTTTTTTTTTCACATGACTGTAGTTCTGTGTATAAATTTTCTCTAGTTTTAAGTACCTATAACCTAAGCAACGACTAAAATATCCTTCAGTCAGTCAGTCAGTTCAGTCGTTCAGTCCTTAGGATGTAGATAAACCTAAGGACATGGGCATGATGTAATTATAACCTGGTATGATGTCAACATTTTGCAGAGTATATACTGCTGACTAGACCCCAAACAGCAAAGCACTGGCAGAAGCTCAACCAAGTCTCTTGTTAATGTATGTACTTAATTCTTCTTGGTTATTTTTAAAAGTTTCTGGTTTCATGAAAATATTCTACATCCTGTCATATGTGGCAAGCATATAATAAATAATTCCCCTCATAGCTACAAATCCTCTGGCTCTATCTTGATGTCCATTATATTCCACCTGTGTTCATTGCCTTCTCTGAAACTATTTTTCCCTCTTGATAATGTATGCCTCCGTGTTTTAAAAAAAGTGAGACTGTACTGTATACACTTAATGTTTATGTAAATTAACATGCATATTTACCCTAAAAATGTTAGAGATGATTTTAGACCCTGGAATGATTTATGTCAATCAGAAATGATTTACTTTTGAATCTGGAAAAATGCTAGGTGTTGATCACTTTCATCCAATCAGGGAGACATGACCTGGAGGCTGGTCCTCAGCCTGGTGATTCCTTGCTGTTCCTGGTTCATCTCCTCTCCCAGGTGTGGCCCTTCCCCCATTCTACCTGAAGGCTTTGTTCTAATCAGGATCCAAACTTCTCTGGTGCCGTGTAGCCTTATTTCTATCTCTGACCATGGATATTACTGAGAGCTGTGCTTGGCTTTGAGGCGTCCACCATCTCTTTTTTTCCCTTAAAAATGTTTAGCTTTGAGGATCCCTTAGTGAGATAGCAAATGTGTTTAAGTGTCATTAAAGAGGAATAGGGCTCCCTTCCCTCGGCTTCATGACTTCTCAACTTTCCAAGTACCTCCTCTCTTTGCACTCCCTGTACATGAGATAGAAATTAATTACTAAGAATTTTCTTGAGTCTCTAGACAGTCCCCATACCTGTATAATTTGAGAGAAAGATTATCACTTACATAAGGAAATTCCAGGTGGAGTAAGGTAGGCACTAGCTGGAGCAGGCTGGGTTGGAGGAGGTGGAAGTTTGGGCTTTTAATAGGGTTGTGGAGGGACTTGGTAAAGGCACTTTGTGTGGACTTGGGTTTGTGACTTTTGAGTGTCCCTTTGGTTGTTATAGGGCAAAGTGGATGCAGAACAGGCTGAGAGGTGTCACTGATCCTATATTAACAATGGAGTCTGACTCCTTGCTACCTGGAGCCCCTCTGATGTGTACATAAAGACTCCGCTTGCCATTGCCAATGCAGGAGATCAGGTTCAATCCCTAGGTCAGGAGGAACCTCTCGAGCAGGGAATGGCAAACTGCTCCAGTATTCCTGCCTTGGAAATCCCACGGACAGAGCCTGGTGGGCTGTAGCCCACGGTGTCACAGAGTTGAACACAACCGAGCAACTAAACACAACAAATAAATATATCCTTTTTTTCCGAAATATATACACTTCTTGGTTGGTTATAGAAAATACGATACTCCACAACTTAACAAAGTTGGAGTTACCAAAGATAAAGAGAATCTAAGGAATAATTTAAAATAAAGACACTGTGCAAAAGACCGTATCTCTCTAAGTACAGGATGAAGCAAACTGACAATGGCAACAAGTGTTTACTGAGTGAAAACCTGGAGAATTCCATGGACAGAGGACCCAGGCAGGCTACAGTCCATGGGATTGCAAAGCTACGACTGAGCGACTCACACTGCTGCTCACTTTTCATTTTCACGTAAAAACTTTACCGTCATATGACAACTATTTTGTATGTATTCATTTATTTAATTCTTATAAAAAGTTTTAGGATTTTTATTGCTAAAGAAAATAAAATCTTTTATTTTCCTTCATTACCGATCCATAAACTAAGGGAAAAGGGCTTTACTGATGACGTTAGTGGTAAAGAACCCTCCTGCCAATGTTGAGATAGAAGAGATGCGGGTTTGATCCTTGGGTTGAGAAGATCCCCTGGAGAAGGAAATGGCAACTTACTCCAGTATTCTTGCCTCGGAAGTCCCATGGACAGAGGAGTATGGCAGTCTACAGTCCACAGTGTCACTAAGAATCAGACACAACTGAAATGACTTATCATGCATGCAAACCAAGGGAAAAAAGGTTAAATAAATCTCCAAATATATACAACTGTTAAATACAAACCAATTCTGAAAAAGAATGCATGGTTGCATCCTTTTTGTCTCAGATGGGAGTAAATACCATTGTTATGTTTCTTTCCCTGAGCTTCCCTCCATATCACCCCAATGAGACAACGGTAACCTGGCTGAGAAGAAATACTTGAGCTTTCACTCAGCCCCCCTTTCACAGAACTGGCTGCTATAGGACACAGAACCCCTCCAGTGCCTGCTGCTTCTGCCAGGACCAGGCTGTGCAGCTCATGGGACCTCAACACGTGGTGCCTGAAGAAGAGCTAAGACACTCATGATCCAGAGCCCTCACTGCAAACTCTTCCCCTGAGATCGCCACCTGTTACACAGACTCAGAACATCTGCTGTCCGTTCCCCAGAGAAGCTGCACTTTGAGTAGCTGAACCACCCAGGCAGGGAGGTTTGTGTTCAGGGTTGTATCGCTGTGTGAGGAACATGTGTAGCTTGAAAACAGTAATAGACTCCAGCATCCTCAGCCTGCACACTGCTGATTGTCAGTGTGAAATCTGTCTCTGACCCACTGCCAGTGAACCTGTCTGGGACCCCAGTGTAGCGGTTGGAAATCTCATAGATCAGACTCTGTGGTGATTGGCCTGGTTTATGTTGAAACCAACGCAAATAGGTTTTTCCATCACTATCTTTCAGACTCTGAGTAGACTTGCAGGAGATGGAGACCATCTCTCCAGGGCTGACAGACAGGGAGAGCGGAGTCTGGGTTAGCACAACATCCCCACTGGATCCTAAAAGAAATGACAGAAACTTTTCAAGTTACATACAAATATTATGAGCTCTGATTATCATTTCCAATTTCTTTTTTTTTTCCAATTTCATATTTTTGTTAGCTAAAATACTGCCTTGTTTTACTCTCATTATCAATACTTTTCATCCATACAACAATAATGTACAATCACGATAATGACCCTGACATCCGTGAAGTGTAAAGAAGCTGCTAAACATCCCCGACATCATCCCCACTTCCTCTGTCACAGTCCTGAGCAGAGTACAGGCCCCCATCCTCCCCTCATCCCCGCTCTGTTCTTACCTGGGACCCAGAGCAGGAGGAGCCCCAGGAGCTGAGCAGGGAACCTCATGTTCAGAAGTTTGAACTGAGGAGTCCTGATAAGTCAGAGCAGGATCAGAGCTGAGCTTTTATCTCAGACTTGCAGGGGAAGATCCTCCCTGGGGAACAACATGCAAATCTCCTGGTGGGGGAAGCGGAGTAGACAGAGCCAGAGGGAGGGTGGGAGGGGTCAAACACAAGCAAAATGAAATAAAGCTCTTGTGTGTTCAGATGAATACCATTAGCTAAAGTTTATACTTCTTGAAACAGTGGGAAGAAGAATCTCACTGAGAAAGTGCACATTGACTGTCAGGACACGGTGTACGTGGCCTGGGGCTCTAAGAAAGCACTGAAGACCCTGACATGTAGACAGGTGTGTCCAGGGTCAATAGTCAGAAGGGGACCACCGTCTTGCTTTTCTTTCCAGATGATCTAGATAACAGAGCAGCTAGTACTGACCTTTAGAAATTTCTCCAAACAACAGTAGGTGAGCTGGTTCAAAATCTTTCCAATAACTGCAAGTCTCAAGTTACCTGTTTAAGAATGTTGAAATTGGGTGTTAGAACTAGTCTTTTCCTGGCACCTAGTGAATTAAATTTCAAAGACACTTAAGTCAAAAGAAATTGACAGGGGAAAAATCATATAGCTCGTGCAGAAAGTTGGTAGTTCAGTTCAAGATAAGGAAAAATGTATAAGAGTTTTATGTGAAAGGAAATATCAAATGAAATACCAAAAACCCAGTTGCTTCAACCTAGTGTTCTTGCCTGGAGCATCCCAGGGACAGGGGAGCCTGGTGGGCTGCCGTCTCTGTGGTCGCACAGAGTCGGACACGACTGAAGTGACTTAGCAGCAGCAGTAGCAGGGCATATGCTACCATAATTCTATCTGAGTCTGTCTTTGTCTCTGTTTCTGTCTCTCTCTGTCTTTCTGTCTGTCTCTCAATATATCTCTATGTATATATGTTGCTGTTTTTCTTTAGTTGCTGAGATGTATCAATCTCTTTGCGACACCGAGGACTGCAGGCCACCCACCAGGCTCCTCTGTCCATGGGATTTCGCGTGCAAAAATACTGGAGTGGGATGCCATTTCCTTTTTCAGGGGATCTTCCAGACCAGGAAGCCACATATATATATGTGTATATGTATATGTATATATATATATATATATATAGTCAAAGAAGTTCTTGAGGAATAAGTTCACTTGAGATAATGGGACAACATGAAAAAGGTGTGACTGTGTTTTCTTTTCTCCCAGTGGTGCTTCAAGAAAACTCTTCCTCTGTTAACTCTTTCTCATCAAGTAGAACCAGTTTCCACAGGATTTCCTGGTTCTTGTCAGTTCTGTGTGAAAAACTAAGGCTCTCACTGCCTGTATGTTGGAAGCCACAGTCATGAGCCTGCATTTCAAAAGGCACTGGTGTTTGTGAGAAGAGCAATGACTGGATTCTTTATTTGAATGTCTCTGTGTGGCCTGTGTCTATCACTGTCACCTTTCTGGGCTTTTATTTAAGTCCGGTTCCTATGGAATCGGGCCCCAGGCCACCAGTACTCAGGGAATCAGTCTATCACACCAGCTTTTATTAAATAGGGAAACTACAAGACTATTCTCATGGGTCTGCCTGATGCAGGTCATGATGGATTGAACGGTTCCTGAAAAATAATGACAATGTCAAATTCCTTTTGTCCTGAAAACAGAATCTTGGAAATTATAAAAGCAGACTTTGCTTTCTTTGACTTTGGGCAATTTAAATCCAGAATCAGACTAAACTAATCAAGACAAATGAAGAAATACAATATACTGCAAGATTCCATAATAATATTTGGTCTTTATCTTCTCTGGGAAATATTCAAGAATAAAAATTTGAAAAATGTTGAAAAGATAACTGAGCAAAAATGATGTTTGCCTTTCAACTCTGCACTTTATGGTAATAATCTCATTCACTCCAAAAAAGTCATGGTGTAGAGGTAGATAAAGAATTTTATATGTTCCATCATAGTTCACCAAACTGTAACTCACCCTTTTATTTATTTATACTTTTTTAAGTTTTTGCTTTCTTTGATCTTGTGTTTTTCAAAAAAGAATTATCCTGGGTTTTCTTCCTGCTTTCTGAAGCTACCAAGACAAATAGGATTTTCTAGCAGGTGGCAGGCTGCTATTCTGAAAATTCTAGCCCTCTAATGAATGATGCAGTGAACCAAGTCAAAAGACAAGCATCTGAATGAAAAGCAAACAAATACAAAACAAAGTGAAGAAGCTATTAGAAATATTAATGCTAGTTTTATATGAGTCCTTTAGCATCTATTAAAGTAAGAGTTGATTTTATGTACTATTACTGGTTGAATTCTATTCTCCTAAAAATTATAGTGACGTTTTAGACTCCAGGACCTCTGAACATGACATTATTTAGAAAATAGCCAGTATTGATTTAATTTGGTGATCATGATGTGGTCACACTGTGCTATGGTGGGCCTTTAATATAAGTGGCCTTCTAAGGAGAGGAGAAAGGACACAAAGACGGAGATCCAGAGAAGAGACCATGTGAAGACAGATGCAGTGACTGGACTTATGGTGCCAATGGTTAAGGAGACCCTGGGGCTCAGGAAAGAGAAAGAAGGTGAGGAGTGCTTTCACCTCAGAGGGTAGCTGATCTAGCCTGGACAACAGCTGGTTTCATTCCTCAGGTCTTCAGTCCTGACAGAATACCTTTCTGTTGTTTTAGCCCATCAATCTCTAGTACTTTCTTAAAGAAGTCTTAAGCAACAAATAAATTCAGTCCTGAGAATGGAAACATAAATTGTGGGGAAAAGAATTAAAGTGAGAATTCTGTGGTGTTTTCTTTTATGACAAATCAAGTTTTCAGAAACTCCTTTTACAAAATATTCTTTAAGATGGATGAATTTCAGAGAGAATTTGTCTCTTTTGTGAACTTACTAGAGAACTTTTAAAGGTCTCTGTTAATGCTTGGCTTATCTCATAGTCAACTATCCTAAGAACTATAGAAAATGTAAAACTCTTAAAAATTGATTCTCTGTCAGGAAAAAAGTCTTTAAAATATTCCTCTCCTACTTTGGACAGAAAGTGTAAGATTTCTCATTCTAAAAACACTGTCTACCTCATGTATGTTAGCAAACCAGGCTGAGGCCTGTAAACAAAACTAAATAGCAGCCCACACTAGTCATGTGACACCACCCAGCAATAAGGAAAGTTTTTCAGGGTTGAATGTATAACCTCCATAAGTTCCAGGTGAGGGGCAGGCCTCTGTGAGTCTCCAGTATTGACTGTAGTCAACTGAATGAGGAAGGCCTTAGGCAGGCAGCTTCATTGTACTTTTGTCTCTGTTGTCAGATGCTATTGGTTTCAGTTCCTTAAAACTAGAAGCCAGTGTATGATATGCATGACTTGGAGACTGTCCTGTTGGTGTTTGAGTTTGTTTTCCTGCTGTCATTTTTCTGTGGAATGAAGATTGTGACTGTGACAGCCTCTGTGCAGGGTTTTCTGCAGACCTGGCCACCCTCTCAGACAAACCCATGCTGCCAGGGCAAGGTTAGAGACATGCAGAGGCCTGTTCACCTCCTGGATCCAAACCCGGATCCCTTATGTGAACAGGTGAGAGATTGTCACTGAGGAAGAGTTGAGAGCGGTCCACCCGAGAGAGGGCGCTCCCTGCCACAGGTGGGCTGGGCTAGATCCTGCACCCAAAGGCATCTGTGATGTCCAGGGAGCTGGTTGCCTTTCAAACCTGAAAGCAAATTTGTCACCCTCAGTCCATTGAAAGGGATTTTAGTTTCTAGGAAGCAAAGAAAAGTCTATGTGAATGTGTTTATCCTCTGACTTGTATAAGTTTTCTCAAAACACAGGTGAAGCAGGTTTGATGCCATGCCTCTCTGTTTTGCATCATTAAGTCCTTTCTTTCCATGGTCATGATAGGATTGGTATCTAAATCTTTGACTCAGTTTTGTTTGCTTTCTCTTAAAATAAGTAAAATATTCCATAGATCTACACAACTGATCAATAGGATGAGTGAGGAAATCGTGTGCTGGAGATGGAGCCTTTGTCCATAAATGTTACACTATGTGCTGTATCCCACTCACCCATCGATGAACTGGACAAAGTACGACAATAATTCCATTGCATTGCCCACCCGAGCTTTCTCTGCCATATAAGCTCTTCATGTCCTCTGGGACCTTCACTCAAAAGTCACACTTGTACTCAAAATATATTCACCTAAAAAGGCACAGATTCTCTGAATGTTTAATATTTTTTCACTGTGTATATGTGGTTTTTTTCTTTGACCTCTAAGAACGTCTAGTTCACTTGAGAAAAGGGGAGTGGAGAACACTGGAAGATTTTAGGCAACAAATCACAGATTCTAGCCGCTTAAGTTTGAGTTGAAGCTGCCTTTGAATGAGAATTTTTATGGTATCCCAAGATTGCAAGGGAAATAATTTTCTCCAATTTTTCATCCAGATAAGCAGGTGTACCTGTAAAAAAGGAAACTATAAGCTGAGAATTCTTAAATTTAATGCTTTTGTTTTTTTTAACCGATTCAGGATTTCATGAGTTTACAAATCCTTATATAGAATGGATATGCAAGACATTGTGGGGAAAAAATCAAGTTAAATCACTTAAACTGATATCTACAATCAACTGAATTCTCTGTAGCCATTTCTTTTCATCTCCCGTTAACTCAAATGAAAGGTTCTGAACAGGAAAGACACAAGGGATGAATAAAATATTCTGTGGCCATTCCTCATCTTAAAAGGAAAACACATTGCCTTCATGAGTAAGTGAGAGTGGTTCTTCTCTGCCTTAAGGAAGTACTGGGCTCATAGGAGTGAACGTCGTGTCTACCTACTCACTTGGACCAACACCAGGACCGACGTCCAAGCGCTGCCTGAAGCATCAGCTGACCCCATCTTTTGGTGCTTTTAGAAATTTGCATGTTGGCTTCTCTTTAAAACAGTTCCCAGACCAAGGAGAGAATAAGAATCAGACATTAAAAATAAATACATATGTTGAATATTAACTAGTACAATATATGCACTCCCTAGAGGA